TGGTCTGGTTTGTTAACCCCTTTTCCTATTTCTTTTCTCTTGATGTTTGATGTTTCTCTGTTTGTTGTGGAGTGTTTTATCTATAACATTTATACATTGATTATCTATTATGTATGGTTTGCAATAGCGACTAACTAGTGGACTGGCTTGAGCCCCTGTGCCCACAGCTCTGGCTATTGAGTGAAAAGGAAGTAGGAAGGGAAATTGTCCCTTGAGAACTCCATGAAGCTCATGGCTTTGATGATTTTTTTTTTGAGTCAGGATTTCCCTCTGTCACCCAGGCTAGAGTCCAATCATGGCTCACCTCAGCCTTGACCTCCTGGGTTCAGGTGATCCTTCCACCTCAGCCTCCCAAGTAGCTGGGACTATAGGCATGTGCCACTGTGCCTGGCTAATTTTTTTGTTAAGATCAGGTCTCGCTGTGTTGCCCAGACTAGTCTTGAACTCCTGGGCTCAAGCAATCCTCCTGCCTCAGCCTCCCAAAGTGCTGGGATTACAGAATGTGAGCCACCATGCCCAGCTGCTTTTATGATTAAGATAGCATCCACAAAAGTCTGACGCTGTGGAAAGACACAACATGTGTGGATCTGGGTACCTCTGACCTTGTACCACTCACTGTTAGAACTCCTGGATCGCTTGGCTCTTAAAGCCCTACTAGTCAGTTTTCTTGTTTGTAGAATGGGTGTGAGTGGCAGGTCTGGCAGGGTTGGTGGACCGACTAGGGTTACTTCCATTTCTTACTACCTATCACGTGCCAGGCTTTGGCCTAAGCAATCTCAAAACCATCCTTCAAGGGTTTCATTACTATCCCCATTTTTCAGGTTAGGAAAACCAAGGCCCATAGAGGTCCAGTGCCCAAAGCTACAAGAGCAGTGAGTGGCCGAGCCAGTTTTGAACCCAGGTTTGTCTAAACAGAGACAAACTTAGGTTTGAAGCCAGCTCAAAGTCTCTTTAGAATAAAGTTTTGAGCCCAGGAGGTTCAAGACCAGCCTGGGCAACATAGCAAGACCTCATCTCTATGAAAAAATAAAAAAAATTAGCCAGGCATGGTGGCGCATGCTGCCACGAATCTATAATATTGAGTGATCTATCACAGAAACAAAGAACTGATATTACATGTTCTCACTCATAAGCGGACCTTGAACAACTATCATAATACTATAAGAAAGGGATTGGCAGTAGTGGGAAACTGCCATGGGTGGGGGGTATACCTCATCAACAAAGGTACCTGCATAATGAACATTTGTATACCTAACCCTGAATTGTATCCCACATCTTTAAAATAAAAAAGTAAACAAACAAACAAACAAGAATAAAGTCTATTCTCAACCATTCCATGCACTGCTCTCTGGAAGGGTCTAGCCGTCACTGACATTCCATGACCAACACTCTCCTTCCTCCCTCTCTCCTTCCCTCCCTTATTTTTTTTGAGTTAGGGTCTCCCTCTGTCACCCAGGCTGGAGTACAGTGGCACGATCACAGCTCACTGCATCCTGGACCTCCTGGGCTCAGGTGACCCTTCTGCCTCAGCCTCCTGAGTAGCTGGGACTACAGGCAGGTGCCACCATGCCTAGCTAATTTTCATAGAAATGAGGTCTTGCTATGTTGCCCAGGCTGGTCTTGAACCTCCTGGGCTCAAGTGATTCTCCCACCTTGGCCTCCCAAAGTGCTGGGATTACAGGCATGAGCCACCATGCCCAGCCTACAGACACATTTCTTTAAGAGTATTTGTTGTCCAGTCAAGTTTCAAACCTGGCCTCAAAATTCAGCTGCAAACAAGGCGTCTGTCTGTTTTGCCCTGTGCAGCGGGCCCCGTGCGCCCTAGGAGAGCAGCCTTCCTGGTCTCTTCTGCAGAAGCTGGAGCATGTTGCTCTGGTCAGGCAGCCTCCCCACCCTCCTTGGCGGCCCCAGTGGGATTCCAGCCTGTCTGGCCCTTTTTGCTGTCTTAACTAAGATGACAGTCTTCAGGTGTTTTTTAAATTAAAATGGTTGGTTTCTGTTCATCTCTTTTCCAGATGTCACTACCTAGAGGGAATCTGTCTTTATTTATTAGCCCTTTCCTGTGCAGAATGCAAGGGAGTCTCCCTCTGCCTGAGACCCCCGGGAAGGAGGCCACATGTGGGGAGTAACTTGGACCAGGACGGCAGGAACCTGGGATCCCCAGGGAGCTCAGGACAGAGATCACGGTGGAAGCTGTGGGAGGTGGGTTTGCGCTGAGGATTCTCTCCCGGCCACGTGGCACATGCATGGCTGAGGTGAGGCATGTGGCAGGGTCGGCATGTTCCCTACTGGGCTGCAAGGCTGTAAATGTATGAGGGGCAGACACAGCCCTGTGTCCATGTCTTTTCTATTGCCAACTGCAGTGAAGAAACGTGTTTTCCTCCCACTAGATAGTGGACCAAGGGCTACCTGATCAACTCAAAGTCTGTTTCTGGTTGACACCCTGACTGTCCTCTTCTCCCTCCCTCTGTATCCTCCCCAGCAGCAACCCAGACTTCTGTCACCTTGGTGGTTCCTAGAGCCTCTCTACTGGGTCTTTCTGCCCCCATCCTGCCCTCTCCCATCTGTCCCCCAGCAGCAGCCAGAAAGATCCACCAAAAACTCAAATCTGAGCAGATCTCCAGGTTCCTGCTTCTAGAACTCCAGGTTTCCTCTTTCCTGACAAGATAAAGCCAGAACCAACTCCCTGCTTAGCCACGGAGCCCTTCCCAAGCCCTCCCACAAGTTCCCCCCCTCGCATCTCCCTCTGCTCACACTCTGAATGGCTCCCAGCACTGTACCCACGCCTGCACTCCACGCCGTTCCCTCTGCCTGGCACCCTTCTCAAGTGGCCCTGCTCAATGCCAGCTCCTCTGTGAACCCTTGCCTGCCCTGGCATGCAGAGCCCTGGATGTGCCCTTGTGAAGCAGACATTGCACCAGCGGGCATTGCCACTGTCTATTTTCAGGCTGCCAAGCTCCCTGAGTCACCCAGAGCGGCATGAGGACAGGGGCCATGCCCTGTCCATGGTGGCATCCCTGGTGCCCAGCACAAGTCCAGCCCAAACAGCTCTTGATGGTCCTGGCTGACTAGATGAAGCAGTGAAAGAATAAATAAAGTCGATGCCAGCTGCTCGAGGCTGAAATGCCTGTCTTCCCAGCCTAGAATTCTGTAATAGACTGCTCCGCTTTCAGGCCCCTCTGACAATGTCCTCCTGAGGGCTGTGTCCCCTGATGATCCCTCTTGTCGCTCATAAGCATTCTGTGCTGAAATGAAAGGTCATGGTGTTCCCAAAGTGGATAAAAAGATTGGTTCCCTGACAGACATTCCAAGGAGATGATTCTGAAGATGCTGTGTGCGTGTTCCTATGGGGACATTTCCCCGGATTGCTTTGCGGTGATATTCCACAGACTCTACACCCCCCCAGGCCCTCAGCTATGAGAGGTTGAGGTCGAGAAGCTGAGATATGCGCTGAATGCACTTTTACCAAGACCCTCAGTGAAGCTGGGCCAAGCTGGGCCGGGGCACAGACATAAGTTGGACAAGGCTCACCTTCAGGGACTATCCAGTTCAGTGGAAGAAGTCGCCCTGGGTGTAAATGTCTGCTGCCCAAGGCACAAGTGCCCAGTGTCCTGGGAATGCACTCAGTGAGGACTGTGGGGCTGGGGTGGGGGGTGCAGAGACTGGTGGGGGGGGGCGACCATCCACTGCAGAGAAGCCAGGACTTGAGTTAGACAAGCAGAGCTTACGAGGGGTAAGCAAGGGGCATGGTGTGACCAAAATGCAAGAAGCAGAATGGCTCGGGGCTTGTCAGATGACAGGTGACTCTGTTTGGCACAGTTGGGGTGTTTATGCACCAAATGAAATAGGAGGTTACCAGGACAGGCTGACGCGTGGCAGGTGAGACCTTGGTCCTGGGCATCCTTGGAAAGTGCTTGGGCACCCGACAATTGTGGGGGAAGAGGAGAAGGAGGGAGCCCAGGGTGTCTGTGGTTACTGCACTGTGAGCCAGAAGGGCTCAGTGCCCACATGATACGCAGCTGCCGGCATTCCACTGCAGGGCCAGCCCTGGGCCCCAAGAGTCATAGGCTTAGCTCATCCGGCTCATGGAGGGAGGACCAGTGGGCCTGTCCTCTCCCCAGAATCCAAGGGTAGAAGAGGAGTGACCGTACATGTCATGGTCCATCCCTCCACATTCTTACCACCTCACTAGTCCCAGTGGCATCCCACCTTGTGACCTGGTACCGGAACCTTCCCTGCACCAAGTGCTTTCTACAGAACTTAGCAGCCTTGCTGTGGGATGCAGCTACCACCTCCCCCTGAGCACCACATGCCCCCTCCTCTGAACTCTACACTCACATGGGAGCAGTTCCCTCAACTTAGAGATGAAGGGCTGGAGGGCAACGAGGTGGCACGACTTGGCCAGAGTCCCGGGGGCAAGAACGGCTCCTGTGAACACAGGCCTGTGGACTCCCGGGCGGGGCCCCTCCCCAACTCAGCTGCCCGTCCCATTCCCCGGCTCTGCTGAGCGCTTCCTTGCAGGGACCTCCACGTTTCTCTGAATCCTTGTCATGGCTCCTGGAGGGCAGGGAGCATTGCTGACACTCTTTGGGGTGTCTGGACAACCTGAGTGGCAGTGGGCACGTGGTGGTGTCCAGCAATCCTCAGGAGACAGAATGAGCCCCGCATTTAGAGACCATTTATCAGAAAAGACTCTGAGGGACTAAGCCGGGGAGTCAGCAGGCTCAGGCTGGGGAGCTGAAGGGTCACCGTGGAACAATGAAAAGAGCCTCAGCCTGAGAGTCAGGGCTGAGTTCAGGCCTGGCTGGGCTGGGTACCAGCAACCTTGGAGATAGGTTTCCCCTCTGGGCTTCAGGTTCCCCCATGAGTCCAACAAGGGGCGGGAGGAGTTCCCTGACTCATGCCCTTGCAGCTCTGGCATCTGTGACTTTGAGCACTACCAGTGCCCCCAGCAAGGCCCTGGACAGAAGTGGACAGAACTGAAAGCGGTGGCACATTACCCCTTGCTCCTGACAGATCTGTGTCAATCTCTCCAGCTGCTCATCTTGGATGACCTTGGCCTTCTCATACTGCTGGATAACCATCTCCATCTCCACCTTCACTGGCAGGACGTAGGCTGGAAGACAGAGAAAGTCCTGTGAAGGACTCGGCAGTGGCAGGGCTTGGGCTGGGAAGGGGCTGGCCCAGCGTTCGGCCAGCAGCAGGTCTGAGGCCCAGGCTCAGTTCTTTGAGGATTTGGGAGGGAAAATGTCCAGACACCCAATAGTATCCAGGAAGTACAAGAGGGCTGCCACCTCAATTCACGGTGTTCCGGACAGCTGTCTTCCTCCTTTCCATGGTGACAGAACCCTTACTTTGAGGTTGAGCACAGTTGCCTGGAAGAAAGGTTGTTTGAAAGTCTCCCTTGCAGCTATAGGGGGTCATAAGCCCACCTTCTGGACAATAGGAGGTGGTATGCAGCAGCTTCCAGAACCTTCCTTTAATTTATTTTTTATTTTTTTAGAGACAGGGTCTTGCTCTGTTGCCCAGGCTGGAATGCAGTGGTACAATCATAGATCACTGTAACCTCAAATTCCTGGGCTAAAGGGATGCTTCTGCCTCAGCATCCTGAGTAGCTGGGACTACAGGCACCCCACCATGCCTGGCTAATTAAAAAATTATCTTTGTAGAGCTGGGCTCGGTGGCTCAGCCTGTAATCCTGTGCCTTGGGAGGCTGAGGTGAGTGAATTGCCTGAACCCATGGGTTTGAGACCCACCTGGGCAACTTGGCGAGACCTCATCTCTACAATAAATCAAAAATTAGCCGGGTGTGGTAGCGCGCGCTTGTAGTTCCAGCTCCTTGGAAGGCTGAGGCAGAAGGATCGCCGGAGCCCAGCAGGTCGAAGCTGCGGTGGCCGGGAGCAACCTCTGCACTCCAGTCTGGGCGACAGAGTGAGACTCCAACTCAAAAAAAAAAAAAAATTATCTTTGTAGAGCTAGGTTCTCACTATGTTGCCCAGACTAGTGTCGAACTCCTGGCCTCAGGTGGTTCTCCTGCCTCAGCCTCCCCAAGTGCTGGGATTACAGACGTAAGCTACTGTGCCCAGCCCAAAACCCTTCCTTAAAAGTTAACTGGGACTGGTGAGGATGTGGGACATTGCACCCCTTATACATTGCTGGTGGGAATGTAAAACAGAACAACCACTTTGGAAAACAGTTTGGCTGTTCTTCAAACTGTTAAACAAGGAGTGACCATGTGACCCAGCAATTCCATTCCTGGGTTCCTGAGAAATGGAGTGTACGTGAGTGTTCACAGCAGCCTTATTCATAATAGCCCAACAGTGGAAATACCTAAATGTTCGCCAACTGATGAATGTATAAATAAAATGTGGTCTATCCCTACAAGGAATACTACTTGACAATGGAAAGGAATGAAGCGCTGACACAAGTTACAGCACAGATGAACCCTGAAAACACTGCTAAGTGGAAGAAGCCAGACACAAAAGATCACAGATGATTCCATTTACATGAAATGCCCAGAACAGGCACATCTATAGAGATAGCAAGTAGATTAGTGATGCCTAGGGCTAAGGGGGTGATGGGAGTGACTGCTGATGAGTGTTGGGTTTCTTTTTGGCGTCTAAACTTGGGTTTTGATGGTTGCACAACTCTATGAACACATTAAAATCTACTGAATTGTGGACTTTAGATGGGTAGATTTTACAGCATGTGAATTATAACTTAAAGAAGGTGTTTAAAAGGAAAAGGCAGTCGGGGCCTTCCTTTTACTTTCTTTCTTTCTTTTTTTTTTGAGTTGGAGTCTCGCTCTGTAGCCCAGGTTGGAGGGCAGTGGCACAATCACAGCTACTACAGCCTTGACCTGCTGGACTCAGGTGATCCTTCCACCTCAGCCTTCCAAGTAGCTGGGACTGCAGATGTGTGCCACCACATCCGGCTACTTTTTTACTTATTGTAGACACAAGGTCTTGCCATGTTGGCTGGTCTCCAATTCCTGGGCTTAGGCAATCCTCTTGCCTTGGTCTTCCAAAGTGCTGGCATTATGGGGTGAGCCAACCGCACCCAGCCCTTTTTATCTCTTTATCTTCTTTCTACTAGCTGTGATGAGGAGGTGATGGCTGGCACTGGAGCAGCTACCGTGGACCATGAGGTGACTTTGAAAAGTAGGCTAAGTATAGCAGACCAACAAAATAGAAGGAACCTGGGATCTTGGCTCTGGGAAGTGAGTGCCATATCAGCCTTGGACACCTCTCTGCAGACTTTCATGTGAAAGAAATAAGCTTCTGTTTTTAGACATGGTTATTCTGGGTCTCTGTTACTCAGACGATCCCATTTATAATAGATATACACAGTGAGATCCCGAGGAGAAAGCCTGGCCTCAGCCAGCAGCAGCCCCATGGACCCCCTCCCTTGGAAGTTCTCTGGCCCTGGCAGTCTCAGTCTCAGTTCCTGTCCTTAACTTGGCCTTGCCCTTCACACTCTTTTCACACTGCTCAGAACCCAGCCCTTCCTGGCTCTTTAAAACCCCGGTCACATGCCTCTCTTGCCACTGAGTTCCAGAGCCCTCCACATCTCCCCCTTTCCTCTCCTGATGTTCTCTGGCTGTTGCAGGAATCAGGCAGAGAAGATAAACCAGGACTTTTCTGTTTGCTTCCAGACTGGAGGGCAGGCGTGTGTCCCCAAGACCCAGCTCTAGGCCTAGGGGCTGCCCCAAGATACCCCAAGAGATCTGAGGTGCCTCCTCAGATCTCGGCTGAAGCCAGTTCACACCCAGGGGGAGAGTAGCAAGTTAACACCCATCCGTTTGCCAGCATGTCCCTATCATGAGCCTCCCAGTGGCACGGCAAGGCCTCATGTCAGGAAGGCGGGCGGATGGCTGGCAGGAGCCTTCGCAATGGGGCTGTCAAAATCCATCAGTGTGAGGGTGTGCAGCAGTCTGCAGCTGGCAGAAAGAGTAAGAAGGCGCTGTTCCTGCCCTGAGGGGAGTGGCTGTTCTCGTGGACAGGGCCAAGAACGGGGTCCTGAGCAGATGGAGGGGTGGAGAGTGAACAGCCAAAAGAGCACTGGGGGGCGTCAGGGGTCCTGGGCTCCACTTCTGGTTCTGAGCCTGACTTGCAGTGTCACCCTCATCCCACTTAGCCTCGGCCTCCCCATCCGTCAATAAGGGGGAACAACTAGGTGATCTCCCAGAGCCTTCTGGGTCTGCCAAAGGCTTTCAAAGCTGGAACCAAACACAACCCAGTTTGATGAAGATTCTGGGGCTCCCTGAAGAGATAGCAGCATGGACACCAGGACCAAAGCCCACAGTGTTCACAGGGTGGGACAAGGGGGAGGGGACCAGGGAGAGGATTTGAGGACGAGAGACCCTAGGGTCCATTCTGCCTATCTTGCACCCCTGGGCAAACACTGTTAGAGTATCCTCAGAGACACTTGCAATCAAAATTCAGGCCTAGAACCCTCCACATCTCCCAGTGTTTAGCATCTATCCCAGTGTTTGTTTTTTTTAAGAGATGGGGGTTTTCCTATGTTGTCCAGGCTGGTCTCAAACTCCTGGACTCAAAGTGATCCTTCTGCCTCTGCCTCCTGAGTCACTGGGACTACATGCATAAGCCCCTGCACCCTGATTATCCAGGCATTTTAAACCTGTGCTCCAGAAGGCCTGGCAGATCCTTAGAGGTGCCTCAGGGAACAAGGGAGAAGGCAAGGAGGTGGGCTCTGGGCCCACTCCACTCCAAGCCAACCAAAGCAGCTTCACTTTCAATTTATTTTACACATCGGATAAGATTTTGCAGAAGAAAGGGATTTGCTGCAAAAAAAAAAAAAAAAAAAAGTTGGGTATGGTGGCTCACACCTGTAATCCTAGCACTTTGGGAGGCTGAGGCAAGATGATTGCTTGAGGTCAGGAGTTTGAGGTTGCAGTGAGCTATGTTGGTGCAGCTACACACCAGCATGGGTGTCAGAGTGAGAATCTGTCTCCTAAAAAAAAAAGCGTGGGAATCGTCTATACAACCTCCTGGCTCTAGGGGGAGCTCTTGGAGATGGCGAATGTCCACCAGTCCATCGCGGGTGGCTCTGTACCTCATCCGGCTGAGGTAAGGTGGGCCTCCTTGTTATGTCCTCAGGGACCAAGGACCACCCTCTGGATCCCTGTGACTCAAGTCTTCCCTCTTTCCCCGGACTTTAGTGCCCTTCCTGGGTCGTCACCCCACCCCAGTACCCCGCACCATTCTTCAGGGATGAGGTTGCCGTCTTCCCCCCACCCAGACCACCCTCCTCTGAAGGACACACTCTGGTCTGTCACCACCTTCTGAAAACACAGGAACCACCCAGATCAGGGCATAGCTCTCTACAGGAGGGTGGCTCAGCAAGGGAGCAGCCTCTGCCTCTGGTGACAGCAAAGGCAATGACAAAGGCCAGGATCAGACGTGGGAATGGAGACCCAGAGACAGAAACGTGTCACTAAAGATGAGTGGGGCGCCGGGCTCGGTGGCTCAGCCTGTAATCCCGCGCCTTTGGGAGGCTGAGGTGAGTGGACTGCCTGAGCCCGCAGGTTCGAGACCCGCCTGGGCAGCGAGACCTCATCTCTACAATAAATCAAAAAAAAATCAGCCAGGCGTGGTAGCACATGCCTGTAATTCCGGCTACTCGGAAGGCTGAGGCAGAAGGATCGCCGGAGCCCAGCAGGCGAGGCTGTGGTGGCCGGGAGCGGCCACTGCACTCCAGTCTGGGCGACAGAGTGAGACTCCAACTAAAAAAAAAAAGATGAGTGGGTCGAAACCCAGTGCAAGCCAGCAGCTCCCACAGAAAGGCTCTCTAGCTGTCTTCAGGTCAACAGGCTTGGGGGCACCCAGGCTGTCCTTGATGGACACAAAGGTGGGACAGACCTGTAGGGAGCAAGGCCTTGACCGGACAACCTGGACAGAGCCAACAGTGAGTCTGTTGACCATGGGGGAGCCAATGGCAGGTGTATATCAAGACTCCCAGGGTATCAACAGGGGTACCTGCATGATCAATGTTTGTATACCTAATCCTGAATTGTACCCACATCTTTGTAATAAAAATTAAAAAAATAAAAAAGAGAAATTGGCAGTAGTGGGAAATTGCCAGGGGAGAGGGTGAAACACACCTTATCAACAAGGGTATCTGCATAATGAACATTTGTATACCTAACTCTGAATTGTACCCCACATCTTTAAAATTAAAAATTAAAAAAAAAAAGACTCCCAGGGTGTAGAAAGCTTTTTCCAGAATAGCTGGCCCTGCTATAAGCACATGACACACAATTGCCTTGAACTGAACACATGACCTCACCACAGGTGGTGGGAAAGTCAAGTGTGTGTGTGACATCCGAACAGGGTGTAAGCAAACACGTGACAGTGAACACGCAGGGACAGCTTGTTCCTCCCCACGCCAACAATCTCACCCTTCAGCCCGACACTGGCGAGGCCATTCCCACATCACACGGTCTCTCTCCTCTCTCAGCCAGGTTTTGAAGCAGCCCCCTTCCTCCCTGCCAGCCCCACTGACCCCCAACTCCTTGGGCCACTCACCGTCAATGACCCTCTTCACCCGCCAGATCCGGAGCATGATGATGAGGCTGATGGCGTCCCAGGGGCTCCTGGGCCCGTTGGCCACAGTGGATGCCACCATCGGGGCCAAGGACAGGATGATCACGGCCCCGTCAAACACCTATGAGAGGAGGCAGACTTCAGTGCTCTGGGCCGAGCTGGGTGTCCAGGACCAGAGACCCATCAGGCAAGGTAGGTGGTGCTGGCCAACTTCTACAGGGGCCCGGGCCCTGTCAGAAGGTCACCCTATCCCTGGCTGCGCCTCCCGGCCCTCCTCAGGCTTAGGGACCCCCCTCCCCTAGATGAGCTCCTGAGCACTCTCTGTCCTCCAAACGACCCCAGTCCATCTCCAGTCTCAGTTCATGTGGCCTTGGGCTCTCTCAACCCTCTCAAGACAGGGCCTGCATCCTGTGTCTCAGGCCCCAGGCAGAGGCCAAGCAGAATCCCTCTCTGCCAGTGCAGGGACTGAAGGCAGGTGTGGCGGGCCTCCCTCTCTCGGCAGCAGGAGCCCAGGGCCCCATCACATCTCTGTCCAGTGCAGAGTCCCAAAGCCTGCGGAAGGCAGGGCCAAGCGAGGAGGGGGGCACAGCCTGCACAATTAAGCCTTGAGCCCTGACCTTTGTCTGCCTGTCCCAGCCCAGCCTTGGTCTGGCCCCCTCATGGCATTGAGCCCAGAGAGGAAGGAGTGGGCAGCAGACACTGGCCACCTTGCCTTGGCCACCTTGCCTTGGCCAGCGACAGCCAGGCCATCCCACACCTCACCCCTCGAACAGGAAGTAGAAACCCAGGCTGAGAAGCGCTTTCACAGATTCCCGCTCACCTCTCCATTTAAGGTAGATTTATTTGTTTTTAAAACACATTTCAAAAGCTTTTCAAATTGATTCAAGAATAAATTTAAGCATCTTGTAGAACTTCAAGGAGACTGTTTTAGAACGTCCCTTTGCTGGCAACAGTCTCTGTTTACCCCTCCCCGCCCCACCTAGCATGCACAGCTGAAAAGGCTCCCATGGTCCAGCTGAGGAAGGAGCCAGCCTTATTTCATGGCTCCCACCCTGAAATGGATAGAACAGTGACATTTTCCAGCTTACAGAATGGCTGGGTTGGGGAATTGGGGGTGGACACTCGTCTTTTTTACCTCTATTTTGTTTTCGATGTAATCCCAGATCCCAAGTACCACAATCCGTAGAACTGTCTGAGGAGAGGAAGTGAGAAAAGTGGTTATTTTTCTCTGGCCCCTCCCCCAGTGGAGAAGATTCCAGAACTCAGAATCCAGAGCTCTGCTTCCATATTCCATAATAGAAAAAGGTCCCTTCCATCCCTAAGCATTCCTCAGCCTGTGTGCCCTCTCCATCCCCACAGCCTATGCCTCCTACTGGCTTCTCTGCCTGCAGGCTTGGCCCCTCCCACCCAATGTGTGCCATCCTCTGGGCACTTCCAGCACCATTTGTGCCAGAACTTGCTCCTGGTACCTACAGAATATGCTCCAAATCCCTTGGAATGATACTCAGGACCCTGCCTTTGTCTCCATATTATCTTTCGCCACCCCTGTCAGGCTGCAAACCACTTACAAATCTTCAAATATGCAAACTATCCCTCTTATTGCCTTGTCTTTGCATGTGGCAAAGGCTGCAGTTGACTTCCCTGCTCACCTCCAATGTCTTCCTTCTTTCTTGTACAATAAGTCAAGCATCAGCATGGCCACCCAGCCAAAGACTACATAGCCCAGCCTTCCTTGTGGTCAGGAGCAGCCATGTGACTACATTCTGGCCAATGGCTGGTTAGCAGAAGCACTGCGCACAACTTCTGGGTTGTGTCCTTAAATGGACTGGGCTCTTCCTCCTCGTTCTCTGTTCCCAAGACTAGCATATGGTGTCCAGGTGTAATGGTGAGCCATCTTCAACGAAGGAGGGCCAGGCAACAAGACAGATGCCTGCTGGGTTCCCATCACCCCAAGCTACCGTATCAGCCTTACTTCCTACTCAATGTATTCCTCCATGAGAGAGAAATGAACCCTGCCTTGCTTAAACCCCTGTGTGTTTGGTTTTCTTGTTACAGCAGCTTGGCCTATGTCCTAACGAGCTTTCCCCTTTCCCCTTCTTGTCCTTCTGGCCTCAGCTCAAATGTGACTTCCATGAAACTCTTCCACACTCCCCAGACTCAGTGGTGCCTACTTCCTGGGTGTTCCTATGGTTCTTGGACATCACCCTCCCTCAGCACTTCCTTGTATCTTGTGGTAATTACCTATTCCATCCCCAGTTAAGGCTCTAGAGATACTACTTGATTTCTCTCTTTTGACCCTGATACTTGGCAAGTAGACACTGAGTGTTATGTATGGTGAATGAATGAACAAATGTGTGCATAAGTGAATAATTCCTAAATGTTGCTGCCTCTAGGAGCAGTTTTCTCACCATGAGTATGTCTGTCTCCAAAGAAGCATCTTAAAAGCAGGTCTTCATATGCTTGCTTAGAAATTTCAGGGTCTAATCTTGAAATATCCTGACTTCAGGACCCTCCCACCTTAGGGAGTCACTAGGTGATTGATCCATAACCTGAATGCAGCTGACTGCAGCTGAGATAATACCAATCAGACCTCCAGGAAGACCACCACCCAAGATAAACCATCCAGACACACCCTATGCCATACTGCATGTTTCCCATACCATATTTCCCTTTCTAAACCTTTGTACTCAGTCTAAAAAGAAGGTGGGATGCTGGGAGTAGCTAGTCATGTACCGTCTTTATATACAGAGAGGAACATGTGGCAGTCTGATGTCCACTCCTGCATAGCTTCCCAGTCTCTGGATTGGTGGACCTGTGCTTAACTATAAGACAGCTCCCAGGGATGGGAAAATATCTGAGTGGGGGTCTGAGGTATTTGGGGGTCAGCTCAGGAACAAGCTGGTTGTATTGCCTTGGGCAAGTCAAGTCCCCTATCTGGGCCTCAGCTTCTCCTTTGCCAGAGAGGTGGGTTACATGACACAATCCTTCCAATTATTTGAGGATAACATTTGCTATCTAGTATATGCTGGTGACCCTGGGCCAGCCCTTCTCACTTGTGATTCTCATTTTACAGAGAGGGTCAGAGAGGTTAAGGAAGCTGCCCAAAGTCACACAGGCAATTGGTGATGAAGTCAGCACTTGGACCCAGAGGTTTCTGACTTTGCATAGGGTACTACTCAAGCTGGGTAAGAACACCACATATTGTCCTGGTTTCTGTTGTTGCTGCCTGATCCCCCTGTTTGTGCTGAGATTGAAACTTGGTGTTTACTTCTTCTGCTACAATAGCTACACTCCCCAATTCTGGGGCTCTCAAGACAAAAAAGTCCATACTAGGACAGATAGGAACAGGGCCTGGTCCAAAAATGATATCTGCTGTTGCTCTGCTCCTCTTCCTCCTCCTCCTATTAAAATGGTAATAAAATATATATAGCATTAAATACATCTTAACCATTTTGAAGTGTCCTGCTCAGTGGTATTAGCACATGCACATTGTTGTGCAGCCACCACCATGATCCAACTTTAGAACTTTTTCATCTTTCCAAACTGAAACTCTGTACCCATCAGACAATAACTCCCACTCTCTCCCCTTCCCAGCCCCTGGCAACCACCATCCTACTTTCTGTCTCTATGAATCTAACTCTGCTAGGAATCTCATATAAGAGGAATCATCATACTTCTTTTAAAACAATACATTTCTTAGCTGAAAAGGCAGTGGCCTGGGGGCGTTGGGTAGGTACCGGAGGGGGTGGTGGAGAGAAGGGAGCTGGCCAGGCAGGAGACTCAGCCAGCAACTGCTGAGCAGAAGGAGAAGGCAGCAGGCAGCATACATGGAGCCTCTGTGTTCCAGGAAGATTTTATGGGCCAAAGTGGTGCCAGGTAAGGAGGCAGAGCAGCTGGAACACTGGCATGCCCTCCTTGCTGGCCATCCACATGAGACCCATCCTCTGACACCTGGCTCCGGCCCACCTCCCACGGGAGCCTCTCCTTCCTAGCCCAGCCCATGGAAACAGAACAGTAAAGGACAGCTGTGGAGAATGTGTGGGAAACACCTCCTAGCCAGGCTCCTGCTAGTCAGGGTCCAAGCCAGAGTGAGAACCCAGCTCTGAGTCACCCCACCTGCTGGTTTTTCCCCTGAAGCATCTTTCCCCTCCCCAAACACCTTTACCAATACCCCCATCCATGGAGGCAGGGACAGGGCCACACTGCCCTGCCACCCCACAGACTTCCTAAAGAAGCAGATCTGCCTTGGGCATGTTTTCCCTGGGGTTCACGGCAGGAGGAAGACATGGATTCCAGGTTCCAAATACAAGACAAAAAAAGAAGAAGAAGAAATGTGAGAAATCTTTGCAGTGGTTAAAACCCGTCACCAGTCTTAAATCGGTGTCAAAACGTTTGCCAGGTGACAAGGGCTGTTGGAGGGGCGACTGCAGGACAGTACAAGGGCTCCCCCTGGAGTCAGGTATTGATAAAACAGCAGCAGACTCACCAGCTCCCTACTTCACTCCTTGGGCACTGACTCCCTCCCACCAGTGGCTGGTGATCCAGGGAAACTGCCTCCTCCCAGAATTGCATCTACTCTCAGGGTCCAAAGGTGAGCCCCTCTGACCAGACACGGTAGCTGAGACATCCAGGGGCTCTGAGTTCATGGACAAACTGCGCTGTTACTCCATAGTGCTAAGTTCATTTTGGCACAAGACGCCCAGCTACCTTAAAAGGATGGGTTCCAGGCCAGTAGGGTGCAGCATGGGATGTCGAACCCAAGACCAAGTGCCAGTTGATTAAATGACTGACACTGACAGTGCCTGCAGTGCATGAAGCACTGTCCTAGACCTTGAGTGAGGAGGAGAGAGACTGAAATACACAGGATGGGTGAGGCTTACTTTCAGAACTTCCTCTTCCACATGAATATTCTCAAGTCTCCTTTCTAAAAAAAAAATCCTTCACTGACTCCATGTCTCCCGTAAGCCATTGTCTCCTCTCTCTCTTCCCCTGGGCAAAGGTCTTTTAAGAAGGCATCTCCAAGTAAACTATTGCAATCTGACATTGGTCCCCACTGCTCCAGTAAAACTGCTCATCTCATGGTTATTAATGACCTTCTGGTTGCCAAACCCAGTGGGTAACACCCTGTTATTTCTCCACCTTGGGTCAGTAGCATGTGGCCCCACTGACCGCCCTGCTCAAAAGGAGCTCCTTCTTTTGTTTCCAGGATACTCCACACTCTGGATTTCCGTCCTGCCTCCCTGGCAACACTTTCTCAATCATCTCTGCAGTTTTCTTCCCCTCTGTTCATACAAAAATTATGTCCCTGGGCTCCAGTTTCTCTCTCTCAATTCTCCCCCTCCACGGACAATCTCCCCCTTAGCTTCGACTACCTCCCAATAGTCAGAGCCCCCTAAGTCCACACCTCTGGTTTAGACCTCTCTCTTGAGCAGCAGCTCTTGACTCCACGAATGGCATGACCAGCTGCGGTTGGTTAAGCCAGACCCCAGGAGACATGCTCGCCCACTCCTCCTCCCTCACACACTCCTACCCCCGCCCCTCAGGCAATTCCTAAGTCCAGCCAAATCTCTTTCCAGCCTGTCCCTTTCTCCACTCCCACTCCCACTTTTCTGGTTCAAACCTTTCCCCTCTCTCCGCTGAGCCATGACTCTTAACTGGTCTCCAGATTCCAGTCTTCCCTCACCTCCAGCCCCTTCTCTACACTGGCTGCCAGGTGTCTTCTCTAACATGCCAATTTCCTCATGCCCTGTCCTGCCTAGGACCCTCCAAGGTCTCCCACTTGCTGTAAGCCTTGTCATAAGTCCAAGCCTGTCCAAGCTCTTCCTCACCAGCTCTCCAAAGTGACCATTCTAGAATCTCTGACTGGGACCTAAACGGACTGCCTAAATGTACTGTGCAGTCTAACGTTTCAATGTGCGATCCTCTATTGCTTCATATGTGTAAATCTTGTCTCTGTAGATGGAATAAAAGCTCACCAATAGCAGGGAAATCATCTGTCTCTTGACAGCTGACAAATACCAATTAAATCATGATAATTTAAGATAAACAAGTTTCATAGTGAATTAGTAATCAAACATTCCTCAGCTCTTAAACTTCTCTCTATTTTAATGTTCACGGTCTTGTTTCCCTTACTAGTCAGTCCTAAAATTCATTAACAAAATGTTTTGGTTTATTAAAAACATACTAAGGACC